GCCGGTTCAGCTAATTCTTAATACTCCAATAAGGTATACGAGTATAAACTATTTCCTATTTTTGGTTGAGAAGTTTCTGGAGAATATTTTTCTAAAAATATTCTTAAGGATAACTCAACAACACTACGCCGGACAACGCGTTGCAGATAAAGACTCGACGCCAACAATCGATGGTCAGCTAAAGATTAGAAAATCAGGAACCGACTTCAAGTTTAAAATTCCGACAACGGTCAGACAATAAATGCAGCACCGGAACTCTTACAGACATTCGACAAAGCACCGAATAGCCTGGAAGATTGAAGGAATCAAGAACGGAAGTCATTCCAAAGTCCCATTATGCCGACTGAAGGTTGGGACAATCATATCCAAAGTATTCCAGACTCTTCTATAAAAGAACGAGGCTGAAATACTTTGGAGGGGGTATCTGTAGGCATGTAAAATTGCTTATAAGTCCCTTGGCATAGCTCGGCGCGGTGATTCGACAGCACGCGAGCAACGGAATGCATCCATTCGCGTGCGGAATCAAGCCAACGGTTCGGGGAGTCAACGAGTGATCCAAACAAGAGCGGACTCGGATGAATCACGACCGAATCAAGATCGGTTTCGGACTCGAACTCAGAAGTGGATTTACTGCCAAATCAGGAATCGGATTTACTGCCAAATCAGGTCAACAAATCGAGTCTAGACAAATCAACCGCACAACCGAATCACGGACAAAACGGGAACAACGGAAAAACGACAAAACCCAACGCCTAAGGGGGCTCGGCCAAAGCCGAGCCACCCATATTTACTGCCAAATCAGATCAACAAATCAGAGTCTACGTCAACCGAAAAAACGGATACAACGGAAAAACGACGAAACCCAACGCCTAAGGGGGGCTCGGCCAAAGCCGAGCCAACCATAGGTGGCTCGGTGGAGCCACCCAGGGGTGGCCGGCCACTTGTGGCCGAGTCACCTCAGCCCAGATCTGTGCCTAGGCACAGATCTGGGTGCCTATAAATAGGCCAAGGGTGGTTCATTTTCGAGGTTGGAACTTTGAGAGCCGAAACTCTGCGAATTGAAGATTGAGCTCAGAGTTTTGAAGACTTGAAGACTTGAAGATTCAGATCTGGTTCTCGGCGAGCGTCCACGTCACAAAAGGCAGGAGTTCGAGAGAGGTAAAGATCAGATCTGAGATCTACACGAGATCACACTCCGGATCAAAGCTTGGCCTTTGATCCCGAGAACTAAGGGCGATTATTTCCTTGGTGAATTAATCCCCTCCGGCTATTATTTCCTTCGCGAAATAATACCCGTCAAATCGTGTAGATCCGACCGGATCTAGATCGCGCGGTGGTCCACGGATTAACCCCGGCGTTGGCAAAGAACCCACACAAAGCGAGCGACCGTAAAACAGGAGCTCGTGATTTGTTCGACAAACAAGGAGAAAGTTGTAATCTTTTCTTTTATTTTCTTTGATTTTCGTTGTAACCGGATCTAAAAAAAAGACCGGATCTTTGTAACTCGAAAAGCTGTTATTTGAGATGACAATGAAATCAATAATGAAGAAAGACACGATTTTCACCGCGAACATCGTCTAATGCCGTGATCCCGACAAAACTGTAAAAATGGATCACTCTTATACTCTCCACCATTGTCCGAATAAAGAGTCTTCACATTTCTACCTATCTGCAGCTCCACTTTCTTCTTCCACTCCACAAAAATATCCAGGATCTTATGTTTATGCTTTATTGTATATACCCAAATTTTTCTGGAATGGTCATAAATGAAAGTGATAAAATAGTTGGCCCCACCAAGTGATGTGTGTTTGGAAGGGCTCCAAATATCTGTGTGAATGTAATCCAATATACCTTGGGTATTGTGAATATCGGTGCCGAACTTCACTTTGGTCTTCTTTCCAAGTATACAATGCTCACACAACTCCATCTTGCAGTTCTTCCACCTTTCAATAGCCACTATTTCGCCAATGTCTACAGGGACTTATCATCAGTGTGTCAAGGTCTCATATGCCATAAGATGGTAGTGTCATCCTTTGTAGTGATAGAAGCTGCCAGACTCCCTGTAACTATCTTGCCTTTCAAGTAGTATAGGTTATTTTCCCTGACACCTTACATCACTACCATAGAACTCTTTGTGACCTTCATAGTAGCATCCTCTAAAATCACTCGATAACCTGCTGCCTCCAAAGTCCTAACAGAAATGATGTTCTCCGTCAACTGCGACACGAACCTCACTTCTTTCAACTCTCTAGTCACCCTGTCATGCATCCTGATCCGGACTGTACCAATTCCACCAATAGGACATACGCGATCATTACCCATAAGCACGACATCTCTTTTTTCTAGCTCCTCAAAGCTGGAGAAGCAATCCCTCCTAGGGTAAATGTGAAATGTAGCTCCCGAATCCAACATCCACTCCGTAGAGTCGGCATAGCAAACTGACTATAGTGCAAGACATGAATAGCCTGAAGAATCCGAATCTGAATGGTCGCTAATAGCTTTAGCAACATTCACCTCTGAAGCCTGTACAGCTTTCCCCTTGTTCTTTCCGGCTTTATCCTTTAACTTTGAGCACTCATTCTTCTAATGCCCATCTTCTTTACAAAAAACACATTGATTTCTACCAACACTCTTATGGCCACCTCTATTCTTTGACTTTGAGTGGTTGAACTGGTGACGGTTTGGACTACGGCCTCGAACTGCTAATGCCTCTCCTGATACCTTTTCGGAGGGTTCGTCATCACTCTTCCTCAACTAATAATTCACCAACACCGAGGTTATCTCCTTGTAGCTAACAATAGTTCTTTCATTGATATAAGTGAGAACAAATGTACCATAATCATCATTCGGCAACAAACACAATAGTAGCATCGCCTTGTCTTCATCCTTAACCATGATATCCACATTGGTCATATCTGAAAGCAACTTTGTGAAGTTGTTGACATGCTTCCTAATGGAAACTCCTCTCTTCACCTTGAACTGGTAAAACCTCTTCTTCAAGTAAATTCGATTCTCAATGCTCTTTGTAAGATACTTTTCATTGAGTGTTTCCCACAATCTCTTCGCCGACATCTCGTTCATCACATCATAAATAAGATCCGACGTCAAGCATGACTGAATAACTCCACAAGCCCTATTGTTCATCTTCTTCTAAACCTTGTCCTCCATGTCTTCAGGTTTCTCTTGTAACTCAAGAGTCTCCTCCAAATTCTGTGCATCCAACGCATCAATCACCTGACACCTTCACAAACCGAAATTAATCTTGCCATCAAACTTCGAAATATCAATCTTAGTGTTATTGATGCTCAGACTCTGTATCGCCTTCGTAAGAGATGATCTCGATGTGCTTGCTTCACCCATATTGACGATCTAACTCTTCAAATAAGAATCCTTCAGTGAATCCTTCGAACAAGCCTCAAGCCAAACGTGAAGCTCTGATACCACTTGTTGTGCGCAGCGAAACTCGAAACACATGAAAAAGCACAAACAAGAACGAGATAGATCACAACCAATAAGTAAAACACAATCACTACAGCAAGACAAACAAATTTTACGTGGTTCGGCAAGTTGTCTACGTCCACGAGGCAAGGAGAGAGGAGTTTTTACTATTAGGGATAAAGAGAATTACAAATAGGGTTACAAATCTCACCAAAAACCCTCAAACAGAACTCTCTAGATCTCCCATAAATTCTCCCACAAAGAATGCACAACACTCTCTCAAAAGCTGCTCAAAAACGTCATCTCTTAACCCTAATTAATCAGGTTTAGGGTTATATATCAGCTCATAACGAAATGAGTCTAAAATCCCAACCCAACTCAAAACCCAATTGGCGGTCGACCGCCAAATTCGTCGTGATCGATCGCACGCAACGACAGAAACCTAAAATGATTACAGGGTTTCTATGGTCGACCGCGGCGGTCAACCAAACCAAATCCAGAGACCCAGAATCCTACAGGATCCCTGGTGGTCGACCGTGGCGGTCGACCGTCCCAACTCCAGAAACCTGCTTTGATTTTGTGCATATTTCCAATCGACAGCCAAAATCCTCGCGGTCGACCGACTAGTTTCCAGACTGTTTTTCCTGAGCTTCTTCAAAAGTGTTCGCGAATCCTACAAGTAGTAAAGCGTAGCTTACAATAGATCCAAGAGGCCTGACAGTATTTAAGTTTGGTTTAGTTCAGAAGGCGAGATAATAGAGGTTATCCATCACATTTACCACACTAAAAGCACGACACTTGTCGCTTCTCGCCAACCATTTATATCGATGGTTAAAGGCTATGAACTTTGATTATTAGTCCCTTCATGACAGAATTTATCTCAATAAGCAACAAAATCTACCAAAAGGAAATAGAGTCAATGAACAGTCAAGGAGACTTTTTCACAACAAGCCCACACCAAGCACAAGGCATCCCTTTGCATGGACCATGGTATCCTAGGCTTCCTAGCCAACACCAATTGCTCATCGACACTCTACAAGCTTGTCAAGAATCTCTCCTTTATTTTCCTCCTCTTTTCTTTTCCCCAATCATCTATCTCCCTTCACCCCTTAGGCTCATTCAACACACTCCAAGGTCCTAACCAACATGATCACAAATAGCCTAACAAGCTCAATCCTCGCTGCTCTCTTCTCTCTTCTACGCTTTGTTTTTATCTCAACTTCTCAAAAAACTTGCCCGAGATGTGGCTCAATGGAAGTCCCTTACCCTCTAAGCACCAACCCCAACTGTGGAGACCCTAGTTACTCACTCTATTGTGACTCTTCAACTCAAAAGCTCTACCTTAATGCTCTCAATGGAAGCTCCTACCTTGTTCTCAGGATTCAACCTCTATCACAACGCTTCGTCATCCAACCATCGCCATGGATAAAAGGGACTTGCATCACTCAAGACATGCCCAAGAGTGAAGGCTTGTGGCTAAACCAATCCCTCCCTTTCAATATAACCGACTCAAACACAATCTTCCTCTTCAATTGCTCACCTAGGCTATTGGTCTCTCCTCTAAATTGCACCTCGGCTAGCCTTTGCCATGGATACTTAGACGATAAATTGGCTCGTGTCGATCCTCAAGATGAACTCGGGTGCGCTACTGGCCCTGGTCCTTGTTGCACTTTCACTGCCGGAGGGCTGCCTTCGTCATATAAAATCAGGCTCCATAGCTCGGGATGTCGTGCTTTTAGAAGCATGCTGAGGCTCGACCCCTTGAAGCCCGCAAGCCAGTGGGAAGAAGGTCTAGAGATACAATGGGCTCCTCCTAACGAACCAATTTGTCAAACACAATCAGATTGTGCCCAAGCGTCGACTTGTTCAATATCTGGCAGTTTTCGCCGTTGCCAATGCAACAATGGCTATTACTGGGATCCTGCTCTTGCAAATTGTTCAGTAAGGAGTGATCATCACCACTCATCACAGTTTAGTACTAAAGTCGTCGCATTTTCAACAGGACTAGGCTCATTAACACTAGTCACGATGTTGATGCTCATCATAGTGAGGTTTCGACACATTAAGCTATCGGAACAATCAAAGATTTCAAAAGAGCGGGAAGAGATGTTGAAAGCAAGCAATAGAGGGAGGTGTTATAGAATATTCAGGTGGAAAGAGGTTAAAAAGGCAACTAACGGGTTTTCAAAGGAAAATCTATTAGGAATCGGAGGTTTCGGTGAGGTCTACAAGGGTAAGCTTGAAGATGGAACCCTAGTTGCAGTCAAGTTGGCTAAGGTTGGGGATCTAAGGAGCACACAACAAATTCTCAATGAGGTAGGAATACTCTCCCTTGTCAACCACAAGAACCTTGTTAGACTCTTGGGTTGTTGTGTTGAAGCCAATAAGCAACCGCTGATGATGTATGAGTACATAGCTAATGGCACTCTCAATCAACACTTGCACAACAGTAGGTGGGATTGGAGACATAGGCTAAAAGTTGCACATCAAACGGCTGAGGCCTTGACGTATCTACACTCATCATGTAACATTCCAATCTATCATAGAGATGTCAAGTCTACCAACATTTTATTAGATGAAGAGCTCAATGCTAAGGTATCTGATTTCGGGCTCTCAAGACTGGCACAGCCCGGTCTGAGCCACGTGTCGACGTGTGCACAAGGGACATTAGGTTATCTAGACCCTGAATACTATCGAAACTACCAACTTACTGATAAGAGCGATGTTTATAGCTTTGGAGTGGTATTGCTCGAGCTTCTGACGTCGAAGAAGGTTATAGATTTTGGGAGAGATCCCGATGATGTTAATCTTGCCGTGTATGTGATGAAGAAGGTTAAGGATGGTAGAGTCATCGATGTGTTCGATGAGAGGTTGTTCGGTTGTGATGGTATGTTGAGAAGTGCAGATATGTTATGTGAACTTGCAATTGATTGTTTGAAGGAGAAGAAGGAGCAGCGGCCTAGCATGAAGGAAGTAGTTGAGATGTTGCAGTGTATTATTGACATAGCATCGAATTAAGAAGAATGTAATGTAAATAAGAAAGAAGGGTTGTGAATGCAATTCAGCAATTTAAGAAATTCCTCTTGTTCTATATATTTGATTTAATGGGAAAAAATCGTCATACTCTACTTGTTTAAGAAGAAAACTTTTGTTAGAATGTCTCGCGTCTATTCAATTTACATATGAGTACGTATGGTCAGTAACAAAAAACATGAAACAAATTTAGTCTAAATTGAAAACACATAGTTAGACGAATATATGGTTAAATATGTTTTAAATTCACTGTCTTTTGAATCTAAATACAGTAGCCTAGCCTGTCTTTTGTATTGGTCTTTCCAGCCGAACATCTCTTGCTAAAAATAGTATAAATGTGCAAGTAAATGTGGGGCTTCAGTATCATGTCAAACTAAAATAATAGGAGTTTGTTTCTAGGGGACGATAATGAAGTAGAATTTTCTTTAATCTATTATCTAATGAATTACTGGAAGTGCATGTTTAAGAGTCTCTTTCCAAAAATATTTGGTTTCTATTTGGAAAAAAGGCTAGCTCTAGACTAGGGTAGCAACATTGCCTATTATGAACCAAGTAGACACCTTTTTTTCTTTGGTTACATTGAGAGGGCTAAAAGAGTAAGTGAAAGCTAAGAATTTGATGCTTTCCTGCATTGCAAAAAGAGTCTAGAAAATCTAAAGGAGTATGCCATACTCAGATGGTGATATGATGTGTTCTTTGTCACTTTGGAGGATCAAAATGCATATAATCTCTGTTTGGGGATATGATTGGAACCAGCGTGCGCTTGATTCCTGTCATTATGCATGTTTTGCTTTTTTATGTAGTGGAATGAGGATAAGATGTATAATTGTTTTCATTGGGGGTCATAAACTAAGAAGTATATTTGTCTTGATGATTCATGTAGTAATTATTTGATTGGACCCATGGACTAGGAGAGGTGGATTTTATTAATTACTAATCTCACCCCACGTGTGTGGATTTTAATCCTTAACTGACTGTCATCTGTGAACAAGTGTATAGTTTATATGTCAGGTGCAGAATTTTGATCCATAGCTACGTCCAGTCATAGATTCTAAGTAAACATAGACAGCACGAAAGAAGAATGGGGACGGAGGAAGACCTTGGAGAATAGAAGATTAGGATGAGGATGACAAGAGAAAGATTTTATTCCCTTTATGAATTCAAAACAACCTAATTAATATGTAAGAGTCTCAATCCTTCGTTGTTAATGCGTTTTTTTAGCGGATCAAGCCCGCTTGCTCCTGAACAGAAACCTGTTTCCTCCAAATCTGAAGACACCCCACCCCCCGTCAAGATTAACTGATAATCTATGCAACATCAGATCCACAAGACATCCTGCTACTAGTTCATAATCCATGCGTGTATCTTGACGCTAGATGTCTGGCCGACTGCTCATCAACACTTCCGTATGTTGTCAATGTCAAAGTTGGAAAGGCTCGTTAACAGATCAGATGAGTTAGGCTAATCTACACGAACCAATTGACTCAAAAAGTTCAATTTTGTTTGAGTTATGAGTCCAAGTATGTTTAGCTATATTCTTCTTACTCTCTTTCCTATATACAGAGGAATAAATAATAAATCTCACCTCATGTCGATCTTTTCTAAGCCAAACTCACACTTTCCCTAATGGATGTAGAAAATTCTAATAGATCTCCACCTTGACTCGGATTCCCTCAAGTCGAACTTGAGCTAGTGAACATAGCGCCTCAACTTATCACTTCGCAGGATGAACTAAGTCACAACTGGGGCAAATGTGATATCATGTGCAACCAAGGTGATGTAGGAAGCATAACTGACAAATTCATAAATGAGCGGGACTATCAAGAGCCAAACACGAATACGTACATATTATTGACTTGCAGGAAATAAGCATTCTTACATATTATATATGTAAATCGCCTATCTCGATGACACAGAGCCAACCAGATTACCAGATTTCCAAAATCTCATCAACAGTATCCAGTTTTAGCTAAATATGAAAATAATCACTTTTGAGTTTATTTTTAGTAATAAAGGTAGAGTCAATTTAGACTAGGAAACGAAATCAACCTGATTTAATTGGGACTTATTTTTTCCTCAATTATAGAGAGTTTTAAGGTAGTTTTAAAATATTTCTTTCCTTTGGGAATTATGTTCTTATTAGGAGTAGACTTTGTTTTTCTATTTAAGTAAAATATTTATAACCCTATGGGAAGATCACTTTTATTAACAAAATTTCTTATTAAATTTACTTTATGGATTTAAAGTTCTTCGTGAATTCGAAGATTGTTTTTTGTGCTTCATGGATTCAAAGTTCATCTTAGATTCGAAGGTTGTTCTTTATGATTCAGAATACACCCCTTGGTGGATTCTGAGGTTTTACCACTTAGAGGATGATCAACCACACTAGGACTGAGACACGGCCCATACTCCTACGGGAGGCAGCAATGGGGAATTACTCAGATGAAGAATGAGACCTCTATCAAAGTCTTATTTCTCCAACCCGATGGCAGATAATGAAGCCCATGTTATTCGAATTGAGTTCGCTAAGTTTTGAACTGAGTTTTATGAGCTGAAAACGGGAGTTACTCAGATAAAGACTTTCATAGATCGACTTGCATTGGTGATGGACCATCTGAATTCGGGACGAGTTTGAGATCTCATTGATAGTCACCAAAGATGAGATCCAACTCTACAAGATAAATCATATAGCAATGAACGTAGTGGCTATCAAAGAAAGGAGAACTATGATGCTAGAGGATTAACAATATCATCCTTCAACGAAAAGCTTCACGCTAATGGTGATGTGATCCCAGAATATGATGTGATCCCAAAATATTTCAAGTATGATGTGATCCCAAAATATTAAAAAGTTGAATTTGTGGTTTACAGACTTAAAAGGAAAGCATCTGCATAGTGGGACGAAGTATTGGTAACTCGATACCATCAAGGGAAGGATCATGTTTGATCATGGGTGAGGATAAAGGAGTTATTGAGAGATTTTTTTCCTATCTTCTAACTACAAACAATGTTGGGTATCTTTGCAACTTTCTTTTTTCTTAGCTGACATGATATGTCTAGCAAAGAAGTGGAGCGTGTTGTGCGCAGCGGAACTCGAAAGCCAAATAGTGCACGAACAAGAACGAGAAAGATCACAACCAAAACACAAGTACAAATCACAATCACAGCAAGACAAACTAATTTACATGGTTCGGCAAGTTTCCTACGTCCACGGGGCAAGGAGGGGGGAGTTTTTACTATTAGAGATAAAGAGAATTACAAATAGGGTTTCAAATCTCACCAAAGCTCTCTAGATCTCTCACAAATCCTCTCACAAAGGATGCAAAAATTCTCTCTCAAAGACTGCTCAAATCATCCTTACTTAACCCTAATTAATCAGGTTTAGGGTTATATATCAGGTAGGGGTGCATTCGGTCCGGATACGGCTCGGATATGATGCTTATCATATCCATATCCGATTATCCATCTCGGATACGGATACGGATATGGATATACCTCGGTAAGACAAATTTATAACCATATCCACTAAAATCGGATACGGTTACAGATATACATGCGGATATATAAGCGGATATGCATGCAGATACAAAACAGATATGAGAAAACTAGATAGTATTGAGAAAAACATAGTTCATGTGATACAAAAGAGTTTGTTAATATGTCCATTATAATTGAAAAGTTAAGATTAGACATCATGATCATCAAAATTAACCACAAATCCAAAATCTAAGAATCGAAACTATCGTAAGATTATGACTAATATGTATTCGGATATTTTGGAAACGTATACGGATATTTCATTACAAAACCATATCCGTAACCATATCCTATCGGTTATAGATTTGAGTAACCATATTCATAGCCTGACGAATATGGTTACGGATATTTTCTCGGATACGGATACGGTTTAGCACCCCTAATATCAGCTCATAACAAAACGAGTCCGAAATCCAAACCAACTCAAAACCCGATTGGTGATTAACCGCCAAATTCGTCATGGTCGACCGCCCAGGAATCGACAGAAACAAAAAGCATTGCAGGGTTTGGCTGATCGACCGTGACGGTCAACCGAACCCTGGCAATCGACCGTGATGGTCGACCGTTCCAACTATAGAAACCTGCTTCGACTTGTGCACATTTCCGGTCGACCCCAGCTGATCTCACAGTCGACCGGCAAGCTTCCAAACTGTTTTTCTGAGCTTCTTCAACAGTATTCGCCAATCCTACAAATCTCCACCTCGGTAAAGTTTCTCCCAAAACTGAGCCGACACAAAAGCAACCAAATGTCTCACTTGTTGCATCCAGTACGAAATAGAATAAATCCACAACAACGGACTCAATTCACAACAAGTCGAGAACCCGAACGAGAGCTCAACCAATCCCCCCCCTCCCCGTCGAAATCAACAAATCCAATCAGCTACATCAAAAAGACTGCCTACGTATCCTCTTGCTCAAGGAATCAAGCCGGATGTAGTTCACCCAAATGGCCTCCAAAGGCCCTCAACATTGAAGAATATTCAATAGCTCCAAATAATGACCAAACTTAACACCTGAAACAACTTTGATCAACATATCTGCAGGGTTATCCTTTGTGTGGATCTTCTCCAACATGACATCTCCATCATCCAAAACATCATGAACAAAGTGGAATCTGACATCGATATGCTTCGTGCATGTATGATAAACCTGGTTCTTTGTCAAATAGATAGCCTACATGCTATTATAATATACCCGAATGGTCTCCTGTGTAATCCCCAAGTCCTCTAAAAATCCATGTAACCACAAAGCCTCCTTCACAGCTTCAGTCACCGCCATATACTCCGCCTCTGTAGTAGAGAGAGCCACTGATGATTGAAGTATACATCTCCGACATACCGGTGCTCCTGCCAATGTAAACATATATCCTAAAGTAGACCGGCACTTATCAAGATTCCCCACATAATCTGAATCCACGTAGCTAATACAATCCTACCCTGTCTTCCTATTCTTCTGAAAAATCAAACCAACATCTACGGTACCTTTAATATACTATCGAATCCACTTCACAGCCTCCCA